TGATATTCCCAACATAAAATACGCAAACATATAAAATAATTGTGCAAAATCTACAAACTTTTTAAATTTTTTGAACGATGTCATGGATCAAAACCAAAACATAAATGGATTTGAGTCACATCACGGAACAGGCACCTATGAGACAGATGCAAAGTCCTTTTACTTACAAATAAATAACCCGATGACATACTGTATCTGCGGAGTAATGCACTGGTTTCACCCAAATTTACCAAAAGCCGCCTCTGAGCCGACGGATTTCCGATTTCAATTTGTTTACCAGCCACCCACGCTGCGCCCATCGGTAAATCGGACTTATCTGTTGTTGTGTTCCGCTCTCCGACTCCACTTAGCCGCACATAAGTCTCGGCTTCAGACTGGCATCAGCTATTCCTGGTGTGTTGTGTACAGCTGCTGAGAGGTGGTGTGCAGATGTGGCCACCAGAAATGAAGGATTATGGGTAAATCTGGAGCCAGCGGAAGAGAGAGACGTGGGGGACGAGTGGAGGGGGCAAACCGGGATGTGGTGGAGAGGGCTTTGAGGATGACTCTATGTAAGAAAAGTGATAGGATGGCAACAGGACGGAGCAGATTAGGACATGAAGCAAGGAGAGGGTAAGACATTTCTGAACAGACTCATCATTTTGGAAGCGCATTCAGTTTGCCGGTGCCAGCTGCAAAAGAGACAAGTTCCTTACCTCAAATCATTTAGCTAAGGAACTGTTTAATGGTTTAATTTACAACAGCGGTTCTCAAAATGTGGAAAGAGTAGCATTTACGAGACACATGCATCGGCATCTATTGGCTTCGTCTTAACAAAAAACATTTGAAGTATTGCCCATAAAAGGAAGAGCCACGTGAGTCACTACAGTGGGCTGCAAACGTTCCAATACAGCTGGAATGCTGAAGAGACAGAAGGTTCAGGATGTAGATAGATAGATAGACAGATACTTTATTGATCCCGTAGGAGAAATTCAAGTGTCCAGTAGCAGCAGAACAAATAAATAGATCGTTATAGAAATAGCTAACAATAGTATCAAAATGCAACAGCCTTTCAGGTCACAGCAGCAGAGGTGGAGGAGCCGCTTGGTTCGAACCATTTTCTCTGCTCTGGTCCCAAGTACAATGCTAAATGCTTTGTTAGCATTTTTCAAAAAGTTAGCATTCCTCCTTTGGATATTCACTTGATCCACTTGGTTCAGACCATGAATCCTCTCTGATCTGGTCTGGACCAGTGCAAAACCATAAAGACTGAACTGCAGCAACATCTCAAGAAGAAAAAAGCTAGAAAAATAACTATTGTAAAACATAAAACAACAACTGTTTTAGAGACACTTAGGACCTGCAGCCGTTTTCCAGTGCATTCAAAAGTAAAAGTCTTCCCACATCATGACGCTGCCACCACCAGGTTAGACACCGGTGTGAGTATATGTAGCTTTCTAGCGCAGTGCTTTGAATAAAAGTTCCATTTTGGATCCATCTGATACTTCCATCTCCTTCCATGTTGAATGTGTGCCCTGCTTAGCTTCTTGCTGCTTTAAATCAACACAAGCTTTCTATTTACCAAGCCCAGGTTTGTTCATGATGCTGTTTAGTGACCAATATTCTTCTTTCAAACCTCTGAGGCCATAACAGCTGTGATCAAACTGAGAGTAGATAGACGTTGGAATAGAAAGTAGGTCTGTTTAATGGTTAGTTTGACATTTCAGCATTCCTCCGCCATCAGGAAGCATATGCAACCCCTCTGTCAGTGAGGTAATACTGCACTGATACCAAAAGTCAGAGTTAAGTTGAACACAATATGATGAAGATAGAGAAAATCATCCGAGGCACAACATGCATATAGTCAATTAATAATCTTTTACAGCATCCATCCATTTTCGCAGGGGCGACGTCCGGACTTCCACACACACTTCCTCCGGCTCATCTGGGGGAATAGAGGCGTTCCCAGGCCATCTGAGAGAAGAGACATAGTTCCTTAAACCAATCCTCTTTTCTAACATGGATAACCAACGCCTTTCCATACCTGACATATCTACACCAGGGTTCAGATTTAAAAAAAAAACAACAAAAAACAGTTCAACCAGGTGCAATTATGTACCGTAATGAGGTCGTAGTCATGTCATTTTCGACCCCTTTATTAATCCATTTCTGGGTCGGTGGGGGGGGGGGGGAACCCAAGTCTCATTGCACAAGTCCTCGCTGATCCTCCTGCAGGTGGTGGGTCTACGGGAAGATGGCTTCTCTGTCATCGACTAGATGGCCTTGGTCTTTCAGCGGGGGCTTCAGGCAATGTGGGGTTTAGCGTCTCAACGACAGCAGACATCAGTGGGAACAGGTGACGTGGGTCGTGGTGGGCTCGAACCCATGACCATTGGGTCCAAAGACCAGTGCTCTACCAACTGAGAGCTACAGTCGCCCCCGAGGTTGTGATCAATTCAATTCAATTCAACGTATACATGTATTGCCCTAAATCACAACAATAGTTTTCTCAGAGGACTTAACAAAACCTTTGAATTTGCCAAAACAGATCAGAGAATCAAACACAAAGAAGAGAGAACACATGGTATTGGTCCATAGGGAGTTGACCAATGTCCATAAGTGTTGATAAATGTCCATAAGTGTTGCTGAATGTTGTGTATGACAAATCCCACATGACAAACAAGTGTAGCAACAACATAAATAATCAATCATTACATATGTCACAAAGGCTGAAAGCGAGAGGAGACGGGCCATGGCTCCTGTTTCGTTTATCCGTGGAGATTGAACCTGCAACCTTCCTACTGTGAGAAATTACTGCTTCCAACTTCCCAAGTCCACCGGGCCTTCCATCGGTGAACTGTATGTATTACTTTTTTCTCAACTCCTGTCCGCAGCCAATAGAACTGTGATTGTCAATTATGTCCCTTTTTGCAGCCAGCATCCAAACTATATGTACTTAACGATTGCAGTCACTGTCACACTATATGTACTTGTACATAACTTTAAAACATATTCACACAGTTCTGGCATAGTTTTGTGCTAAAAGATGTTGTATTCAGCTGTAGGGGAAACAGAGCAGTCCTGTATTGATTGACACAGAGTTCTAAGGTTTTATGTAAACACTGCTGCCATTGCACTCACAAAGACCACACTATTATCTATATTTTCAACCAAATCCCTGAATATGAAGCCTACATATCTGCGGGTGTGCTCTGCTGTGGGAGTGATGTCCTGGTCTCAGTCACTTCCTGTCCTCGTCGGCCCCGGCAACGGCTGCAGACGATCCAATGTGGCCTGTTTGATATTCGGTGATAACTTCTTTGCCTGCACTTGTCAACACATTAGTCGAACGGATCAGGAAAGGATTGGCCGGGCCCCAAATTACAGCGCAACGCAGAGCAAAAGCAAAGCCCCTACAGGAAGATAATTAAGATTCACATTCTGCAGCACTAAACTATGCCCAAGAAGAGTCTCTGGAAATTTGAATTAGGCGTCTGTCACACGTCGGATGATTTTATTAAAAGTTTGAGATACGTCTTGATTGTATATAAGGGACGTACTATGCCACAGTGCCCTCCAGGTTGATTCAGTGCAAAAGACTGTTTACGATTCTGTTTAACACGAGCTACAGTGTGAAGTCATGAATCGTTCTGTTGTGATAATAACTGATCATTTCTAGTCATCTTTGAAATTCGTTTTTTTTAACCTTATTGACTAAAGACTACTTTTAGACTACACTACACACTACATTCACCAGTTTGTTTCATTTCTCAAATAATGTTTATGCGGTGCCTTGTATTTTGCAGACACAAACAATAAACAATGACCAGACAGGAAATAGCCTGGTCTTATCACACCATTGTACTCATTTCATTTTTTACTGAGGTCTGGATTTGCTCCATTGACTGCGTTGACAGGTGGGAGGGGTTAACTCCTTTTGCAGATTGAAACCATTGGATCTGAGTTTACTGTGACGTATGTAATAAGCCCGAGTGAGTGAGACATTTAGCATTTAGCCTAGCTTTAGCATTTAGCCTAGATTTAGCCATCTCCTTTTCCACTCATGGAGCCCGTGGGGAGTCACGCCACACGATCTTTGCAGCAATGAAATTTGTTAAACATTCCTCTTAATCCGGCTTCAGTTTCTTGACATTTGGAGCCGAACCTGTCATGGTGTGGATTTTATTTTTGTATTTTTGTTTTATTTTGAAATTGGTTTTCTGTGGTTTGGTTTTAGTTGCTTCCTGTCTTGTTCCCCAGTCTTGATTGTCTGCCCCGCCCTGATGTGTTTCACCTGTGTCTGTATGTACCCTGTGCTTCTCTCCCCTTGTTGCTGCTCCATTGTATAGTCAACATCTTGTCCTTGTCTGTTCCTGTTTCCTTGATTTTTATGCCTTTGGATTTTGAGGTTTACCGGGACTTTTATTTTATTATCATTAAATTATTATTTTTTGGCATTCCTGCATTTTGAGTCCTCAGCCTTCCCAGCACGTGACAGAACCAGAATCTATACTTTAATTGACATTCATGATTTCCTAGTAGTAGACATAAATAAAAACCATTCAGCCCATTCACATTTTGACACCAGATTTATTCCAGGCTCTCATTCATGCATCAGTCATTCATCACATCCTTGATTTTCCTGGAAACATTTTGGGTCAGACTGACAAATGAATAGTTTAAATTCAGAAACAGATAAGTGCCTCAGAAAAGCTTACTATTTTCTCTTTACCAATTTTAGTGCCATACATTTAAAGTTTCGCCCCTTCTTCCGCATATTCCTTCAAGATTGTAAGAAGAGGAAGACAATAATTGGACCAAATTTCAAAATGGAGATTTGTGGTTTTGCTTATGAACTCTTCAAATATGTCTTTGTACCGTAATCATATGTTTTGCGCAGATATTAAACACGAGATGGTTCAGAATGATACTTGTGGGTCTGGCTGTGGGGACAGGACCTCAGGATGTACCACAAACTCCAACACCGCAGGTAAACACAGCTGCGTCGCACTAACTGCAGTTCACTCCACTTTCTGGAAGCAGGATTCGTTCTTCACAAACAGAGAGTCGGAGCGTAACGGCAGATTAGCGCTGTTCAAACACCGGGCCTGATAATGATGAGAGCGGCTGATCCACGGGTTTAAGCACAGCCCGGGGTCTGAACTTTAGCAAAGAGGATGGATCACCTCGGCTGGAACTTACTGCTTATGTCTGTCAAAACTACGTCTACTTTACCTTCAAGGGTTAGAAATAATAATAATCATAATCGTTACTATCGTGGTCTGTGAATAAAAGACACTTGGGAGCAACATGGCTGTGCAGAGGTTTCTCTATTTTAGATGGATGGATGGAAGGATGGATTTAAACTTTATTGATCCTGAAGGAAATTGTGCATTAGTCCCTTGCTCACATTCACATAAACACAGGTTAAAAGTAAAAAATATGACAATAAATACATAAAAAGAAAAGTTAAGGCATGTCCCAGTAAAAAAAGGAGCACGGACGCACGCACAAACACACACACACGCACACGCACACGCACACACAAACACACATACTTTACTGCCATTTTCTGAGCTGAACTCAAACAAATGTGTTAATGAGCACCTATCCTTTGAGATAATCCACCCCACATCACAGGTGTGGCAGAGGCAGATGCAGGTGCTGGTTGGAGCAGATGCCGGTGCTGGTTGGACTGTGGGATTACTGCTCAGGTGCAGAAGGTCCATTTACACGATGCAACCGACAGAACCACCTTTTTAGGGTTCTCTCTCATCACAACAATGTCCAGAACTTTATGTAAAGTGACCGTTCGTTTTCTCTGAGAAGTGTTTCAGACGTTTGGGCAGAACTTCCATCTGCAGACCACCTGTATCTGCACCTGCCCAAGATCTGCATGTGTCCAGCATCATCCACGAGACAGACAGACAGACAGACAGAAAGACAGACACACGGACAGGCAGACACACGGACAGACAGACATCCATCCATCCATCCATTTTCTACCCTTTAATCCATTTCTGGGTCAGAGGGGTGGCAGTCAGAGATGCCACCCAAGTCTCATAGCACCAGCCCCTCACTGACCCTCTGCAGGTGGTGAGTCCACAGACAGACAGAAAGACAGACACACAGACAGACAGACAGACACACGGACAGACAGACAGACAGAAAGACAGACACACGGACAGACAGACAGACACACGGACAGACAGACAGACAGAAAGACAGACACACGGACAGACAGACAGAGAAAGACAGACAGAAAGACAGACACACGGACAGACAGACAGACAGACAGACATTGAGACAGACAGAGAGAAAGACAGACAGAGAGAAAGACAGACAGAAAGACAGACACACGGACAGACAGACACAGACAGACAGAGAGAAAGACAGACAGAGAGAAAGACAGACAGAGAGAAAGACAGACAGACAGAGAGACAAACAGACAGACAGAAAGACAGACAGACGGACGGAGAGACAGACAGAAAGACCCCCTGACAGACAGACAGACAGACAGACTCATGTAACCTACATGAGTGAGATAAAGTGTCTTTCACGTTGTACATATTACATTGAGTTTTGCATGTACGTACTGTATGTTGTGCTGTTTCTCTTTTTTTGCCGGTGTTGTTGTAAATGTGCTATACATATAAATCTGACATTGACATTGTTAATATGTGTCCTCCAAAGATGTGACCCACGGTTCATTCTTTACTGAATTCTGTCTTTTGTCAATGGCACAAACAGAGACAGACAGACAGTATTTACCGACCATCCACGTTTACGTAACCCTCCTTTAAAAGCTGACCCACATCTAAATATATCAACATTTTATCACAATGCACTGGATTAAAAATAGTAGGATTTTAGAAACTGGTTCAAGCTTGAAAAAGAACATTGTTTCTAAATGTACAGATTTAGACGTTGCTCCAAATGAACAAACAGCTGACATCATAATTCTTGGCCTTAATCTCAAATATGAAGTGAAATATTGCAGTGGGTCGAATTTGAAGCTTATTACGTAACCGGACATTATACTCTGAGTTACTTTTAGCTATGGGCTTTGATCTAGTTTTTATTTTTAAACCCTGATTTATTTGTCTTAGCCTTTTTCTCATGATTTGTCATTTGCAAATCTGGGTTAAGTCTTAAAGCTCCGTCGCTGTCACTAAACGGCACGGCGCGGCACGGTGGCTGAGTGGATAGCACTCTCGCCTCTCAGCAAGAAGGTCCTGGGTTCGAATCCCGGCCGGACCAGGGCCTTTCTGAGTGGAGTTTGCATGTTCTCCCTGTGTCTGCGTAGGTTTCCTCCGGGTACTCCGGTTTCCCCTACCACTAAAAATATGTACAATAGGTCTGGCATGCGCCTCCTGTTCGGCGACCCCACTCCTGTCTCTGTGTGGAGTGAGAGGACAAGTGCCCAAAAAAATAACAATTGTAAACCGCTTTGTGACTCTGGTCTGTGAAAGGCGGTATATAAATAAAGCTTACTTACTTACTTACTTAAAAATAAGTGAATAGCTTTGGAAAGGAAGTATTAGATTGGAGTCGTGAACTTAGAACCACGAGGGTCGATCTGTTGGATCTGTGAAAATGTGTTTGTACGATTACAACTATTAGGTTTGTGGATTAATAATCTGAAATCACAGTAGATCCTGGACTCATAATTCTGATAACCCTAAACCTAATCCTAGCCCTATCCCTAGTCCTGGCCTTTGTCGTAACCCTAGTTCTAGTATTAGTTCTAACGTTATTTCTAGCCCTAGTCTGAACCCTTGATACAGTATAACCCTAGCCATAACCCTAGTCCTAACCCTATTACCCTAGTTCTAACCCTAGTCCAGACCTTAGAACCCTAGTCCTAACCCTAGTCCTAACCCTAGTCCAAACCATAGTCCTAACCCAAGTCCTAACGCTAGTCCTAGCCCTAGTCTTAAACCAAGTCCTAGCCCTAGTCCTAACCCAAGTCCAAGCCCTAGTCCTAACTCTAGTCCTAACTCTAGTCCTAACCCAAGTCCTAGCCCTAGACCTAGCCCTAGTCCTAACTCTAGTCCTAGTCCACAAAGGGGCCGTATGTAATAAATCATGTGCAAATCATTAACTTTTTTCTGAACAAAAGTTGAGTTATTGTTAATTACAAAGTTGATGGCTATATTTATGTTTACAGTTGTCACGCCGATCATCCAATCAGAGAGCAGAAGGACTCTTATTTGGGTTACCAGTTTATTTGGTGACATTTAGCTCATTTTGGCTCTTATCTCCGTCTATTTTTTACCTCAAATTTGTGTGTCACAGCAGTCCCGGCGCCAGCTCAGTATAGAAGGGGGGGCGGCTGAAAAACGTGGAGGGGCAATGACGTCACGTGTATGCATGCATATGAGAAAACGTATGCAACTTGTATGTAACTTTTTTTAAATATAAGCCACATAGATAAAACGTGATAACAAGTTACAATAATGTGTTGTAATTAACACAACAAATAAAACACTTACAATAACACACGGCCATAAGGAATAATTCTTGCTTTAACGCAACGTTCATTCTAACCCGACCATTAAGAAACAGATGAAGACTCAGAAGTGATACACATGTAGCACAGAGCAACATCAAAACACTCCAAAGATCACACTCGCTGATCTAACGCGTAATCAATTGGTAACAAAGCAGTAACAAACATTGGTAACAAAAACAGTAGCATCAACAATATACGGATGATAAAATAACCAGCTCTTATCTTTAGTAGAGTTGCAGTCTCCTCTTTTCTGATGAGTGGAATCTCCGTAACAGCATCTCCTTCCATTCATCTTTGAATTTCCGACTGAGATCATTCTCAAAAGCCAGCTGGATGAGGTGGGCTTTCCGTTTATGCAACATGCTGCGTCTGTGCTCGGTAAATACGTTCTTCAACGTGGAGAATGAGTTTTCGCACATAGCAGTTGATGCCCCGAAGGTCAGTGCGTGTTTGAACGCGGTCATTACCGCTGGCATGGCACTCAATACCATGTATTCTTTTGCAACAAGCTGACTCAAAGTCACTTTCTCCTCGTCCTGGCCTGTGCACCTGTTTTTCAAATAGTCCCGTGCAACTGTGAACTGTCCCTCAATAATTTCTGTGTTGGTCAAATCCAGTAGTGGTTTCACTTTGTTGGCCTCCAAGAAATTCACACTTACGGGATCCAAAGCGTTCAAAGCAGTCATGTATGTCCCATTGCGCTCGCTGAAACGCGCAGCCATTTCACACAAAATCGAGTCGATTATACCGTCGGGCGGCACGGTGGCTGAGTGGATAGCACTCTCGCCTCTCAGCAAGAAGGTCCTGGGTTCGAATCCCGGTCGGACCAGGGCCTTTCTGAGTGGAGTTTGCATGTTCTCCCCGTGTCTGCGTAGGTTTCCTCCGGGTACTCCGGTTTCCCCTACCACTAAAAATATGTCCAATAGTTCTAGCATGCGCTTCCTGTACTGGCGAACCCGCTCCCATCTCTGTGTGGAGTGAGAGACAAATGCCCAAAATTAACAATTGTAAACCGCTTTGAGACTCAGATCTGCAGTGAAAAGGCGGTATATAAATAAAAACTTACTTACTTACTATTATGGCAAAAAACAGGCGCTTACACTCCTGTTGGATGTCTGCTTCGCGCTGCCCAAGGCCTTCACTCACCACGTAGTCCTGAAGGGCCCCGGTGGTCTGCCGCAGTCGTTTTGGAGGGACAGGCGTGCCCTCACATGCATCCCCACTGTCATCCCACAATTTAATAAATTCCGCATCAGATCTTAAAGCTTCGATGCACTTTGAATGAGGCGGACTGCAGTAATTAGATCCGTTTCTTCAGCTTGCAGGATCCGATTGGCTGGGTCCATCAGCCCCAATAATTTGTGCATCACACAGGTCAGAAATTTGAAGGTCCGTTCTGTGATGGCCTTGTGAAGTCCAACAGCTTCAATTTTTACATCGGCACCTGCTCCCGTGCATCTCATTTCTTTTAAGAAGTCCACCAGTGTGGCGTGTGACTTCAGCACCACAGACACCGTGTCAAGATGTCCAGTCCATCGCTGTTCTAACAGCCTTTTAAGCTTTTCTCCTCTGTACTGTGCTGCTACAGTGGGCTTTTTCAGAAATTTATAAAGGGAATTACACACGTCAAAAAAATCCCTGACTGCGCTCTCCGAGGAAATAGCATGAACAACCACCAAATGCAGCTGGTGGTTGAAACAATGAATATAAGGCACTTCTCTGTTTAACTTATTTTGAATAAGCTTCTGCATGCCTCCCTCTCTTCCAGACATGACGCTGGCTCCGTCATAACACTGACTAAGAATTTTATTTACGTCAAGGCCGGCGTTTGACAGTTCATTGAGCACTACATTAGTGAGTGACAGGGCATCACACTTGTCTGTTGTCTGCATTGATAACAGCCTCTCCTGCACTTTGAAGTCCTTGTCCACATAACGCACAACTATAGAAACATTTTCACGGCCTGTCGGGTCTTTAGTTCCATCCACCTTGAGTGTAAACCACGACTCTCCAACATCTTTAACAATTTGCTCTGTTACAATCGTGCTCATCAGTTCAATTATGTGATTTTGTATATCATGTGATGTATAAGTTGCGTTTTTTGGAATTGTACTGAAAGCCCTCGCTAGCTCTTGATTTTGCCTCAGTGTGTATTCAAACAGTGAAAGAAACAGTCCGCTGCCCGCATCATCTCTGCTATTGACTGAATCCACGTCACCCCGCAGTGGCAGTTCGTTTGAGACAAGAAATTCAATTATGTCCACAATTGCAGACACATAAAGGCGGTTTCGCACAAGCTGATTAGAGTTAACCAAAGTTGAGATTTCGCTACCTATGTTGCATCGCATTTGCTTCTCTTTCCAGCTCGCCATACACGCTAGGTGCTCTTTGCTGTTACTATGCCTGCTAAATCCCTTTGCCTTATCATTAGCGTGCTTCCAATTATTATATCCAGTTCTTGTGAAAACGGAGTCACTACCTCCAAATTTCCTGCAGGGAAAACAAAAAGCAGCGTCCGATTGCTGGGAATATTCAAGCCAGTCTTTCCCATTGTACCAGTTAGCCGAAAAAGACCGTTTACAGTCATTATTATGCTGTTGCTTCTTTGGAAACTGATGGAGACAAACTTGAACTGGCTTTTCAACTCCGAGGTCTTCTGGTAAACAAAGCTGTTGCTGCGAGTGCGATGGTGGCCTCGCCGCCCCGAACACCGCTGAACCCGGGTCAGAGGCTGTTGGCACCGGGGGAATGGCGGGAGAATCACTCTCCTCCATTTGCCTCGGCACCTGCTGCCATGGCCTCGGCAGGTACTCTTCGGCTTCTCCGGTTCTCCTGTAGCTGCTGCCAGGCTGCGGGGACACTGCCGGTGTAGTGTTTGGCTTTTTCAGCCATGTACGAATGTCCATTTTTATCAGAAATGAAGAGCTAACCCTTAGCTGCTGGCTGGTTACAGGCAACTCCGTACGGCGGGAATATGCACTGATAAGGTCATCACTGCATATTCCCACCAATTGAGTGATGGGTAACATGGGTTCAACTATAATCTGAATTTTAATTTTCAAAAAATGTTCATTAGAGTCAGTGGAGTTTCTTCTGAGTTTCTGGATTGTTTTGAATACACAAACTGTGAATAATATATATACACTTCTTTATTTAAAAAAATATATATACATTTTGACTGAGGGGGCGGGACTGGCCCCCTCTTGACGCCGGGACTGTGTCACAGGCAGAAAGATTCTAGCCACAAAAGTTGGATTAAACCTTGTAATTTAACTGTACATTTTACATACGGCCCCTTTAACCCAAACCTTTTAAATTGTTATGTGTTGTTATAAAACACCAAAAAATCCTAAATAACAAATCTAAAAGTTTCCTGGTTGTTTCTGAAGTAGTTATTTTAGGTGTGTGTGTGATTCTCTTTTCAGACCCCAGAAAACAAAGTGATGACAAATACTTTCATTTTTCCACATTGGACACACATTCTTGACTTTGACCCTAAAGTAATTTACAAATTCTTCTGTCGCTGTGAGAAAAACTGCTCATTTGTCTCCGAACGTCTGAGATAATGAGTCGTACCCCTCCACATGTGTCTGTGGTTCTAACGGCGAGATAACGTTATAGACATTTATCTTTTTCACTGACTTTAACATAGCGGCAGTTGTGAGTTGTGTCTTTCTTATTTGACTTAACTGGATATATTGGTTGGTTCTTTTCTGTCTTTCCTGTTGTTGAGAAAGTGGTTCTACTGCTGGTGGTTGTGTGTGTGTGTGTGTGGACTTTCACGGCCCCCTACTGGCCGCAAGCTAGAACTACATCGTTTTTCATTGCCGTGTAGATGCTGTGCACTTCAAATACAGAGCCTGATTGTTTTTGCTAATTGCTTTGTTTTAATTGCTTAATTTCTGGCGTCTCCGTTTAAGCAGGGCCTCAGTCTCTCTCACTCTCTCTATCTTTGCCACTCATTTTCTCTTTCTCTATCTCTCTATCCATACAGTATCTGTCTATCTCTCTCTCTCCTTCTCTGTCTCTGTCTATCTGTCTGTCTCACTCTCTCCTTCTCTGTCTCTGTCTATCTGTCTGTCTCTCTCTCTCCTTCTCTGTATGTCTGTCTCTGTCTCTGTCTCTCTCCTTCTGTCTCTGTCTGTCTCTCTCTCTCCTTCTCTGTATGTCTGTCTCTCTCTCTCTCCTTCTCTGTATGTCTGTCTCTGTCTCTCCTTCTCTGTATGTCTGTCTCTGTCTCTCTCTCTACGTCTCTCTCTATCTGTCTGTCTCTCTGTCTGTGTTATAATTTAAAATACATACATATCGTGATATCGTAAAACACGAAACTAGGTGTGTGGAGATTACTAAACAACAGTCCTCCCCAATGAGCAGTGAATGAATCGACACAGTGACTGGAACAAGCCCTGGGAGGTGGGTGAGGGAGGGGGAGGGGGGAGTGTGGGGGGGGGCACATCTGTTTCAATGTGGGAGCAGACGCCGTTCTATCAGGGGGATTCATCGGGACGTCCCAAATGCAGATGGCTGATCCCATTAAATGATTCAGAAAATGAGCATATGCTTTTGATCGGCCTGGACCTCATGTTGTTAGGGGATGGCTTCACACCGACTACACCGTCCGCTCTAACAACAACAACAACAAAAACAAATGTTGCAGATGCAGACGAAGGGGGAAGCTATTAGCCTGTCGCAGCCATTACAGCCGTGTTTGAACAGGCAGTAATGTGAGGTCTGACTCCCTTATGTAACTGAACGTATAGAAATGAAAGCTGTTGGAGGCAAAGCGATGGTTGGAGCTGACAAGTGCAGCCTCCAGCGAGAACTCAGCGACCGAAGAGAGAGAGAGTTCCCAAAGTCGTGTGTCTCCAGCACAAGTCCAAACAGATGAGGAGAGTTTGGAGCAGAGTGTGTTGAGAGAGAGCACTCACACGTCAGCCACGATCAGGCCTCGCTCCGACGCTGAGGAGACAGCTGCCATGTCATGTGGCGTTCAAGTGCTACCGGAAAACATGTGTGTGTCCGGTTTGTTTATGTCTTTTAAAATGTATTGAATTAGATCTCATGGTTTTGTAGGTTTGTGGATAAATAATCTGATATCACAGTAGATGCTGGACTCATTACTAATCTTTACTGTTACTAACACTAAACCTAACCCTAGTCCTACCCTAGTCCTAGTCCTAGCTCTAATCTGTCAGGAATGAACCAGACAGAGACGGATCGTGGTGCGCCAAGCTCTGGAAGTTTATTAGGCTTCCAGTGGTTTCAGTCGTTTCTTTCATCTCAGACAAAATGGAGTCAGTACATGATATATATAGTCATTGTTACGTCACACATCGAAAGACATACGTGTCATTCAGAGCAAAGGAAGGTTTCTCACCCATCATCTGTACTTCTTAGCAAGTTTTCCCGACGTTTCGTCCTCAAACCAGCGGACTTCTTCAGGGAATGAATTCTCGGACCGCGCGTTGGAGATTTATATCCTATGGGTGTGGTTAGCCACACCCTAATCCTGATACTAACTCGTAAACAATCTAAGGTCTGCTTGATGTAGAAGGGAGCAGATCTAACGACCCTGCTGAGGCTAACGACCCTAACTCATTAGCATGTCACAGACCTATTGTCTGCTCGGATGCTCAAGTAAGTAAGTAAGTAAGTAAGTAAGTTTTTATTTATATACCGCCTTTTCACTGCAGACCTGAGTCTCAAAGCGGTTTACAATTGTTCATTTTGGGCATTTGTCTCTCACTCCACACAGAGATGGGAGCAGGGTCGCCAGTATAGGAGGCGCATGCCAGAACTATTGGACATATTTTTAGTGGTAGGGGAAACCGGAGTACCCGGAGGAAACCTACGCAGACACGGGGAGAACATGCAAACTCCACTCAGAAAGGCCCTGGTCCGACCGGGATTCGAACCCAGGACCTTCTTGCTGAGAGGCGAGAGTGCTAACCACTCAGCCACCGTGCCGCCCAAGTGGAGTGCAGCTCTCACCCCTCCTATTCAGAGACAGTCAGAACAAATTATATTCATAACATGGATACACAGTCAGAGTCTGCGTAGTGTCTTGTGCTTGTCCTGCACGTAGGCCTTACAAGTCCTATAGCCCTAGCCCTAGTTTTTTGGCAAGCAGAGGGCAGGTGTGGCTGCAGGTTTTCAGGTTTTCATGCATTCTCGAGTCTTCAGTTCAAATCCACCTTTACCTTTAGGTCAAGAGTCTGGAGCCACATTTACATTTAAAACCTGCAGCCACAACGGCCCTTTCTGGCACTAGTTTGATACCCCTTGGATAGAGCAATAGAGTGTTTGGTCTGATGTCTAAAGTTAAGTGGGGATAAGCCTGGGTAGTACGGGGATGGGAGACCATTGTGGGTGGAAAGAGTAGTCAAGATCTGTAATCAAGAGAAACATGGAACTTTTGTTTTTGACTAAATACTTATGTTTCACCATAACTTCCAAATGAATTCTTTAAAAACGAGACATGCAATTTTCTGTATTTCTATTTTCTGTCTCCCATAGTTGAGGTAAAGCTATGGTGAATATTGCAGACATGGCTCATCATTGTGAGTGGGAGAACCTGCACGATTTGGCTAAAGCAGTATTCAATTAAAATTAGAAGTAAAGATGGCACATGAGGACTTTTTTACCCACAGATCAGTCGGGCATATTTCCAGACAGTGCATTTTAAAATCTGATTGAAGCATATTATAAACTCTAGACATATTCTCTGAGCTCTGGTCATACACAGCAGATGGTGCAGTGATGTGTGCATGAGACACCGGCGATGTAGACACTTTACGACACTGCAAAAGTCAAAAATTGCTCAAATTTGGCTAAATATGTCTTAATCTGAGCACTGCCTTAAAATAAGATTCCCCAATGGGACAAAGCAAAATGATCTTGTTTTAAACAGATAGAAGAAATGAGAAAGTAAAGCAACTGTTCTTGAAAAAATACATTACTTTGTCCCAATGGAACATTTTGAGAATGTTAGAATGTGTTCAGATTAAGATAAAAAAAACATTCAAGCAATTATTACCTCCTATTTTTATCTTTTTTATTGCAGTGTGAATGTAACAATTGGAAATCGTGCTGTATTTAATTACCCAAGGTTTTTTTTACTATATACAATAGCGCTAAAACTTTCTTCAGTCAAAAATGGAAGAAGAGGGTTAAAAAGACTGATATTTCCATGTTTCCAGAACAGGTCGACTGGGTCCTTACACTCTCCCAAATACAACAAGTAAGTATCGGGTAAATCAGAGTGAGAGCTGCTCTGAGCTTAATGCCGTGTGTGTGTGTGTGTCTGTCGTTTGGATTGGTTAAAAACTACTGGACAGAGGACTGTATTGTAGTTTAGGTCATAAGACATGTCGAAAATCTGTTTAAAGAAAAAGTATGTGCCCTTAGTTTCGGGAAATAAAAACTTCATCTGGCTTCATCCTCCTTAAGAGAAACGAGAAACCCAAAACCACCACATGTAAAGCTCTTAATCTCACCACTCCAAGTCCAAAGTGACAGTGTGTGTGTGTGTGTGTGCGTCTGTGTTGTGTGTGTTTGTGTCTTGTGTCCTGGCCCTTGTTGTGTGTGTGTGTGTGTGTGTGTGTGTGTGAAGGGGGAGATGGAGTGATCTGTGGAGACATGAAGGGCCCCCAGGTTTCACTCCCACACCCACACACACACACACACACACACACACACACACACACACACACACACACAGACACACACACACACACCCACACACTGTCATGATGCTTTATGGCGCGAGGAGGTGTGGGTGAAATTCAAGCGGAGAGAAGAAGACATGAGACTTTCAGACAGTCCGATGTTGACATTTGTGATGGAGGGCGGTGGTGGAGGGCGGTGTGGAGGCAGTGGCGGCTCCTCGGATCGAAAACAAACATTTGAGAGTGTGAAGGGAAGAGAGTTCAGGGAGTGGGAGCAGAGGTGGAGAGGAGGTGGAGAGGAGGTGGAGCAGAGGGAGAAGCTCACAGTTCAAAGATGCCTCTGTAATGACGTGTGTTTGACTTCTTAATGCTCTGTTGTATCAGCGGGGAGGGAGAATCCAAAATAATTGTATATTTAATAACTTTTATCTGTGTTTTTAAACTGCTTTGAATTGTGCCATACAAGTAAATGGTCGAAGACAGATGGAACAACAAGCACCAAAACAAATACTGAAAATATATAAACACATATTGCATTAAATAATAACTTTAAAAGGGGGCGACAGTTGCTCAGTTGGTAGAGCATTGGCCTTTGAGCCAGAAGGTCGTGAGTTCGAGCCCATCATGGGACCTTCTCCAATTCACAATTTGAAAGTAAGACCCTGACTTTACCTTGATCCTTCCTGCAGGTGAGAGCCAGATCCTGTCAGACCTCTGAAGCTAAGCAGGACAAGGCCTGGTTAGTACTGTGATGGAAGACCCACATTAGAATGAGTCTGGTGTGTGTGTGAATGGTTGGTGATGGTCAGAGGGGCCGATGGCACAGACAGGTTGCCTCACTTCAGTCAGTGTGCCCCAGGGCAGCTGTGTCCTGAAAAGCACTGTATAAAACTGATGCATTATTATTATTATTACAATATTTTGAACATAAGAAAAACACAAGGCGACATTTTCTAAAAAGTTTTAATCGGCATCGTTTTACTGATTCAATGTACAACTTGTTTTCATTCTTGTCAAAGGTAAACGCACGTCTCACGGTCATCTTCAACATTATTAAATGCTTTTTCCCCTTGTTCCCCAAACCCCCCCTCCCCCCAAACAGAAAGTGAAACTAACATTAACAAGAGCACACTCTCAGACGCTGTTGCATATTCAGATCCTACAGACGACTCCTTAGTGTTTACCACAGTTCTAAATGCCACGGACTGGAAAAGCGCAAACGAACACAGACTACATTCACTCAGAGGTTTACCCTCACGCAGAGGTTACGCTCACGCAGAGGGTTACGCTCACGCAGAGGGTTACGCTCACGCAGAGGGTTACGCTCACGCAGAGGGTTCCGCTCACGCAGAGGTTACGCTCACGCAGAGGTTTACGCTCACGCAGAGGGTTACGCTCACGCAGAGGGTTACGCTCACGCAGAGGGTTACGCTCACGCAGAGGGTTCCGCTCACGCAGAGGGTTCCGCTCATGCAGAGGGTTACGCTCACGCAGAGGTTTATGCTCACGCAGAGGGTTACGCTCACGCAGAGGTTTACGCTCACGCAGAGGGTTACGCTCACGCAGAGGGTTACGCTCACGCAGAGGTTTATGCTCACGCAGAGGTTTACGCTCACGCAGAGGTTTACGCTCACGCAGAGGGTTACGCTCACGCAGAGGTTTACGCTCACGCAGAGGGTTACGCTCACGCAGAGGGTTCCGCTCACGCAGAGGGTTACGCTCACGCAGAGGGTTACGCTCACGCAGAGGTTTACGCTCACGCAGAGGTTTACGCTCACGCAGAGGTTTACGCTCACGCAGAGGTTTACGCTCACGCAGAGGGTTCCGCTCACGCAGATGGTTACGCTCACGCAGATGGTTACGCTCACGCAGAGGGTTACGCTCACGCAGAGGTTTACGCTCACGCAGAGGTTTACGCTCACGCAGAGGGTTACGCTCACGCAGATGGTTACGCTCACGCAGATGGTTACGCTCACGCAGAGGGTTACGCTCACGCAGAGGGTTACGCTCACGCAGAGGTTTACGCTCACGCAGAGGTTTACGCTCACGCAGAGGTTTACGCTCACGCAGAGGTTTACGCTCACGCAGAGGTTTACGCTCACGCAGAGGTTTACGCTCACGCAGAGGGTTACGCTTACGCAGAGGTTACGCTCACACAGAGGTTACGCTCACGCAGAGGTTACGCTCAGGCAGAGGTTTATGCTCACGCAGCTAGAGGCGGCAAATACTGAGTCAGTATTTGAGGCTTTGGGACAGGGGCTGACATGGGCGGAGTGAGTAAAAAAGCTGATGGGACAGAGGCCAGGAAATGTGAAAACTAGAGGTTGTGGGAACTCAATGGATTTTACAAAATATTTCGACATTTATCATGATTTATGGACATTGGTCTCTGCCCCAAATGGACCAATGTCTTTTTGAACTTGTGTTTGATTTTCTGGAGAACCGACGGTGGCGTGAAGTCCTCTGAGATAACTATTGTTGTGATTTGTGGCGATAAAGTTGAGAATTGAACAGCTCTATACAAATCGCACTTGTCTGTTTATGCAAATTAGCTATTCTTGCATATTTGTCAGACAGAGCCCTGATTGGCTGATGGCGCTCTTCTGTCTTTCACGTTTCTGTCTGAAAAAGATGTGACCGATCCCAAATATGAATACATTTTTTTCACAAAGTTTACAATTTATTTTGTTGTTTAAAAGTTAGGTTCCCCATCTTTAACAGTCCCATAGAAGAAAGGAGTATCTGTGCTCAAAACAATGACTGAATAAAACTCTGAAAAGCCAAAATAAATGATTATTTATCGACCCAGGCTTAAATCATCGACACCCGCCGCCTCTGGCTCTCTCAATCTCCCACAATCCTCTCCTCTCATGTTTTAAATATACATTACAAAGCTTGAAGAGTGCCGCTGCCCACTCTCTCTGCACTCACTGCTGGTTTGAGACGCGCTCTTAGAAATCTCTTAGCTCAGGTACCAGAGCTCAGGTACATCTGCCCACAGTGTGAACCATAGACCAAAGACCAAGGGGACTGTGACTCCGGACCGTGCAGACGCTGGTGAACTATAAACAAAATATGATTCTAAAATGAACTGCTGGTATAAAAGTGGGTAAAAGAAGAAGCTAAAGGTCCCGGGCTTTTGGTCTGTGGTTAAAATGTGGTTAAAATGTGGTTAATCCTCAGTCATTGAAAGGAGTTGCACCATTATCAGGTCAATAACAATGATTATAGTTGTGTGACTAGCTTGGGCGTGTATTTAACATTTGGTCTGCTCTCCTCTCCACAGATAAAAAAAAAATCAAAAAAAGGTCTATCAACATTTTTTAGAATAGATAGAATTTTGATTTTTTTATCTAAATGTATTCCCCAATTTTTCAGATTTTTTCAAAGATAAATATATGTACATCTTGACCTTAAAAACATTTAATTTTTTAAAACATTTCAAAAAATGAAAAAGAATAGCAGCAGTAGTATTGTTTTGTTGGTGTGGGGCGGAGCATTAGACAAGAGCTCAAAAGTCATTTTATTAAAGGTAGACAGGAGAATTTTCCCAAATGTTAGGAAAGCTCCGCCCTCTCCACTAGATCCACCCGGAAGTAAAAAATCCCCCTTTATCTGAATCGTATAGAATCGTTTAGAAATTAATCGAATCGAATTGTAAGTCCACAGTATCGCGATCCGTATCGTATCGGTCGCCTCTGAACGATGCACAGCTTAAATGGACCCAAGCAAAAAGCGAAGCATCCAAGTTTGAAGTTTTTACAGTAACACAACTATACTAAAAGATCCTCAGCCTTTGCGTTGGGTTGATGTAAACAACACGACTCTCTTTCAATGACCTCCTCCTCTTCCTCCTCCTCCTTACCTCAGATAAACTGTATCTACACAGGTTCTTGCAGCTGTAGATTCATTTAAATAAAAATAAATGGCACTAAAGCGTCAGCGGGCACGTACTAATGCACACAGACCAACACATAAATAATACGAAAATATCATCTTTAAATAAATAACTAAAAAGCACGTAATAGTGTCTGGATTAATGCCAGCTTAAGTCTTGTATCACAAGATAGAAAAGTGATCGATGCACATTCACACGTGTTTTATAATCGGTTTTTTTTAGGTATTTTTTCCGTGTTTATATCTCAAAAACAAAATGGCGGCAGCGTAACGTCAGAACTCAAAGCACTCATTTCTCCTCAGGCACCTGCCACGTGGAGCAGCTGGGCGGGGCTAGGAATGACCCTTAGAAATGATTGGATGGTGGGCGGGAGATGTGTAGCACTGGGGTCTTCTACAGGGAAAAAAGTGTGGTTGTGCCGAGAGGAGAACACGCAGATGAAAACATGTCTACTGCCACGAATGCTGCGAAACGACAAGTCCACGTCTGCATTTGACTTTGAATGTGAAGGCTAGAAATGCAGATAGAGCGGACTAGCATCCAGTAGCTCTCAAATATCCATCGCTAAAACCACGCCTCCTTGGTTGTTCCTAAACGTCAGTCCAAAAGGCATAAAGAGAATCCGAAACTTGCCATTTTTTCCTTTTTTCTTGCCTCCTGTAACTTAATTGGCCTTTCACAGCCGAGTAAAAACATTCTTCAGTGTCCGGGACAGTGGCAGGAGTCCTCAACAGTGACAGATTGTAGGAATATCCGCCGTAACCTTCGCCAGACGGGACGATTCCAAAACACGGTGCGCTCCAAAAGTCTGTCTTAATCCATCACGGAGTCCGGCGCAGACAGAAATCCAAGTCATTTTTTTCTTCAAACACGTTTCGCCATGCTACAAAAAGGTGTAGTCTACGTATACATCCAACTCTTTGACAATCGGAGCCAGTTGTGTGTGATTTTTTTTGATGCTGTGAAAAACCTAAGTCCATAAACACAATGAAAATGATAGCAAAAAAGGCCTCTCCTTTTTGAAAGTCAGGTAAATCAAGTTTTTTTCAGTCTGGTGTGTTTTTTTGGGGGGGTTGGAGGCGGGACAAGGCGGGACGAGGCTCCACGGTCCTCTGGGTCCTCTCATGGGTCGCTAGGACAACAGCAGCAAGGACAGCAGGAGCGCCGCCGTGGTCAGGAGGAGGCGGTCCCGGGACGGACTGCTGCCGCTCACGCTCTTCTCCAGTTTGGGGACTTCAGGGTTGTATTCGTCTGCGGACACAGAGAGAGGAACATGAGAGGGTTTTAAGCTCTCGCAACAAAAATGTGTTCAAAGGTATATTTTCTTTTATCCCCGCACTCACGAAGCTATCGCCCCCCACACACCCACTGTTGTTGACGGAGCTAGCGTCTCCCACTATGGATAATACATGGATATGGATTTACACGTGGATGGCGTGACCATAGAACGATAGAACCGGGAAGCGCAGAGGAACGGGACTTTCTTTTGGATGGCTGTTTCGCTGTGTAAGCAGTATCCGGCGACGAAGACGAGGAAGCTTCAGGTTAGCTCCGCCGCTTGTTGTGCTAACTCAGCTGTCTGTGCTAACGGACCTATAGATTTCTCACAAAAGTGGGAGCCAGTGGTCCGCTGTGATTGGTCACAATCTGAGACCCGAAACACATTCTCTAAAACAGCCATTCCCAAACTCAGTAACACCGAGGCCCCCTTAAAAATCTGACGGGTCTGCGTGGCCCCCCAAAATAATAACCAAGAAGACAACATTAAGAATAGGCTCTTCTGGTTATTTTATTTTGGGGAAATAGCCTCTGCTACAAACATTGTAATACAAAAATGATTACAGTGGATTATTCAAGTCAAATAATGAACACAAATATTTTAATATTGCAAACAAAACATTATAAATTTAACATTAAATAATTATATATTTTTTTTATGACCTCCCGCGGCCCCCCTGCAGTACCCTCGCGGCCCACCAGGGGGCCGCGGACCCCACTTTGGGAGACACTGCTCTAAAATATAATGTCACGCCAGCACAAATCTGCGCTACTTTTTCTTCAAAAGGACGTTTATCCCAATGCACTAAATGCACTGCATGGACATGGATAGCATTTTCATAATGAATACAAAAATAAAGTCAGTTAGTGCAGTTAGTTAGTTTATTGCCACACAAACCAACGCAGACTCTAAAGAGCACAGGGACTGGCTTCCTGCTGAGACTGAGGATCACAGGGACTGGCCTCCTGCTGGGACTGAGGATCACAGGGACTGGCCTCCTGCTGGGACTGAGGATCACAGGGACTGGCCTCCTGCTGGGACTGAGGATCACAGGGACTGGCTTCCTTCTGGGACTGAGGATCACAGGGACTGGCCTCCTGCTGGGACTGAGGATCACAGGGACTGGCTTCCTTCTGGGACTGAGGATCACAGGGACTGGCCTACTGCTGGGACTCTGAGCAGTCAGACAGGCCCTCTTACGACCGCGATTCGAACCCATGGATGGCTGTGGGCGGCACGGTGGCTGAGTGGATAGCACTCTCGCCTCTCAGCAAGAAGGTCCTGGGTTCGAATCCCGGCCGGACCAGGGCCTTTCTGAGTGGAGTTTGCATGTTCTCCCTGTGTCTGCGTAGGTTTCCTCCGGGTACTCCGGTTTCCCCTACCACTAAAAATATGTACAATAGTTCTGGCATGCGCCTCCTGTTCGGCGACCCGCTCCCATCTCTGTGTGGAGTGAGAGACAAGTGCCCAAAAAATAACAATTGTAAACCGCTTTGTGACTCTGGTCTGTGAAAGGCGGTATATAAATAAAGCTTACTTACTTACTTACTTACTTACTTACTTATGGAGGACCTTAAATGCTATCCACTCAGCCACTGCGCAGTAGATCTTGTATATTTACTAAAATAGAAATTTTCTTTTGAGTCAATATTCGATGTTTGTGTGTTTATCCAGAACCGGTACCTTTTCTACATAACGAGAGACGACAGAATTCTTGTAAACGAATGCCATCAGTCTGAGCGTCTGTGGTCGTGTTCTGATCGGTTCCCTCGGCTGCTCGCACTAATGATGTCTTTCAACTCCACGGATTTCAATCAGGCCAAAATAAAACGTTCTTTCAAATGATTTAACAAAACGCATTAAGAAACAGAAAGTCTCCAGATGTTAGAGCTGGATCAGCGCAGAACGACTGATCCTGAGCATTGAACTGATGTTGCTCCTTTCTGTGTTTATTGGTTCTAAAAGAAACTGAGAAAAACTGAGAATTAATCCAACAACAAAAGAAACGCATTCTATCTGTTTTTGGTATTTGTGTGTGTTTCAATTGTTTCTGTTAAATAATTAAACAATTCACAACAGCAGTCAAGAGGAGAGGAGAGAGAGAGGAGAGAGTAAGTAAGTAATCTTTATTTATATACCGCCTTTTCACTGCAGATCTGAGTCTCAAAGCGGTTTACAATTGTTAATTTTGGGCATTTGTCTCTCACTCCACACAGAGATGGGAGGGGCCAGTACAGGAGGCACATGCCAGACATGCCTATTGGACATATTTTTAGTGGTATGGAAACCGGAGTACCCGGAGGAAACCTATGCAGACACGGGGAGAACATGCAAACTCCACTCAGAAAGGCCCTGGTCCGACCGGGATTCGAACCCAGGACCTTCTTGCTGAGAGGCGAGAGTGCTATCCACTCAGCCACCGTGCCGCCCAAGAGAGGAGAGGAGAGAAGAGAGAGGAGAGGGGAGGAGAGAAGAGAGAGGAGAGAGGAGAGAGGAGAGGAGAGGAAAGAGGAGAGGAGAGAAGAGAGAGGAGAGGAGAGAAGAGAGAGGAGAGGAGAGGGGGAGGAGAGAAGAGAGAGGAGAGGAGAGAAGAGAGAGGAGAGGAGAGAGAAGAGAGGACAGAGGAGAGGGGAGGAGAGAGGAGAGGGGAGAAGAGAGAGGAGAGGGGAGGAGAGAAGAGAGAGGAGAGGGGAGGAGAGAGAAGAGAGGACAGAGGAGAGGAGAGAAAGATTAGAGAGAGGACAGAGGAGAGAAGAGAGAGAGGAGAGAGGAGAGGGAGAGGGGAGGAGAGAGGAGAGGAGAGAGAGGAGAGGAGAGAGAGAGATGAGAGAGAGAGAAGAGGAGAGAGGAGAGAGAAAGAGGAGAGAGAGGAGAGGAGAGAGAGAGATGAGAGAGAGAGAAGAGGAGAGAGTAAGGAGAGAGGAGAGAGAGAGAGAGAGAGAGAGAGAGTCTGAACAAATCTGACCCCAACATGCTGCCTTCATCTCATAACAAAACATTTGATCTTTCTCACACTTGTTCAAAGAGCTTTGGGAGTCACTATTTGACACTTTGGGCTGAGAGCTGATTGGTCGAGTGAGACTGGTCCTTTCTCTTTTCACTTCTCTGTCTGAAAAAGCAGATTTAAAAACGTGACATGGCAAAGATACAATGATAAAACCAAGTGAGGATCGAATTAGCTGTATTTGATTACATAGTTAATTTTGTTGTGTTTAAAAGTTAGATACCCCAGCTTTAAGAAGGCGTATAAAAAGTTTACAAAACACATTATGGGAAAGATTAGTTTTGACAAATGCTTGAAGTTTGTCAATTAAAATCACATTACACTATTTTTGCTTCTTGGAAAATGTCTGATTTCTTTCACAAAAATGTAGTGACTTGTAGAGAGTGCGCCGTTCTTAAAGGAGCAGTGTGTAAACATGTGGCCAAAAGTGGTACTGCAGCCTCTCCCACTCTCCCTGACTCAGGTTGCCAGATATGCAGACGAATCCAGCTGGGACCATAACAGCTGAATAGACAAGAGTTTAGTCAACAACAAATCTATAACCAACACCTTTTTCACAAAGATAGAAATCCTGGTTTTATTCCTTGTTTTGTCGTGAATGATTTGAGAATCATAACGAGACCTTTTTTAGTTCTGCGCCACATGGTACTTTACCAGTGAGATTAGCTCCACGCGGTGAGTTCTGGCGCCAGGATCACAGACTTTCTGATTGTTGAAACGGTGGAGGGCGGGACATCGAAATGAAAACAATAACAAGATTTAGGGTAAAAGTAATTTAGAAATTCAAATATCTCTGAACTACTGTTATCAGTTAAAGAAGGATTGAAAAAGGGCACGTTTTATTAGTAGTAAGTAGTAATCTTTATTTATATACCGCCTTTTCACTGCACATCGGAGTCTCAAAGCGGTTTACAATTGTTATTTTTGGGAGTGGGGCCAGTACAGGAGGCACATGCCAGACCTATTGTACATATTTTTAGTGGTAGGGGAAACCGGAGCACCCGGAGGAAACCTACGCAGACACGGGGAGAACATGCAAACTCCACTCAGAAAGGCCCTGGTCCAACCGGGATTCGAACCCAGGACCTTCTTGCTGAGAGGCGAGAGTGCTATCCACTCAGCCATCGTGCCGCCCACGGTGGCTGAGTGGTGACATTAATGGTGTGGTGACATTAATGCCCTTCAATGATGACAGATTAGGACCCTTTAATGATGACAGATTAGGGCCCTTTAATTATGACAGATTAGGGCCCTTTAATGATGACAGATTAAGGCCCTTTAATGATGACAGATTAGGGCCCTTAAATGGCCCTAATCTGATGACAGATTAGGGCCCTTTAATGATGACAGATTAAGGCCCTTTAATGATGACAGATTAAGGCCCTTTAATGATGACAGATTAGGGCCCTTTAATGATGACAGATTAAGGCCCTTTAATGATGACAGATTAGGGCCCTTTAATGATGACAGATTAGGGCCCTTTAATGATGACAGATTAGGGCCCTTTAATGATGACAGATTAGGGCCCTTTAAAGTCAGAGAGGGTGATGGGGTAAAGGTAGAGGACAGGTGACAGTGATGGGGTGTTGTGTTTGGAGCTGAAATGCCATCGCTCTGGTTCGTCCGCCTCTCGTCTCCTGCAATGTTGTTCTACCGTCTGAACATTTGTGTTGTTATGGCGACGCACTTGACGACGGTGCGTCATGTGACAGAGACGAGGCTGAATATCGAAACAGGCCTGAGGCGGGTCCTGCGTCTCAGTCAGGAGTCACATCAGAAATGAACCCAGGGACATGGAGTGACACAAGACGGCCGAAGAATTTTCTTGTGAATTTGACTGAAAAGCAGAACATCGGTCAATTCGATAAATAGATAATAGAATAGAGTCAAAACTGAACACATTTGAAAAATCTTCAAACTCAGATTTTTTATACATGTTTTTTTTCCTTAAATACCCAACCTTTATTA